TTAATCAAAGTTGGCCCAGATATTTTTTGAAGAATGACAAGGTTTTGGGCTGGATTTCTTTTTTTTGAGACACAGTCTCGATCTGTCGCCCAGGCTGGAGTGCAGTGGTGCAATCTCAGCTCACTGCAACCTCCGCCTCTGGGGTTCAAGTGATTCTCCTGCCTCAGCCTCCTGAGTAGCTGGGATTACAGGTGCCCACCACCACACCCAGCTGATTTTTTGTATTTTTAGTAAAGACAGGGTTTCACCATGTTAGCCAGGATGATCTCAATGTCCTGACCTCATGATCCACCCACCTCAGCCTACCAAAGTGCTGGGATTACAGGCATGAGCCACCGCACCCGGCAAGGTTTAGGCTGGATTTCTAGGCTCAGTCTAGACCATAGAGGAAAGGTTTGCCAGGGCCGGGGCCAAGTCCCAGCATGGGCTAAGGCAGAGAGCTCTGGTGGGTTTTAAAATCCATCTTCAAATAAGCATGTTTCAGTTCTGTTTCCTCGACCCTATGATGCACCACCTAAACATCTATTTGTAACTTTTCGGCATAAAAGGAAATGATACTATAAATGTATTTGATTTGTTTTATTTTTTGCTAACCAGCAGGGGCATGAACCTATCTGTACAATCCCCCACCTTGGTATTCATTCTGGACAGTGATCCTCAAATTGTATTATGCATTGCAATCATCTGGGGAGCTTCTAAGTACAGATTGCCAGGCTCAGCCCCTGGGATTCTGATTCAGTGGTTCTGGGGAGGGGCCTAGGAGTCTAAATTTTAGCAAGCCCATTATTTCATTCCAATACAGGAACAGGCTTTGAGGATCAGTGGTCTCTGGGTCCTTCTGAATCACTGTTTTTCTTTAGCCGGCAGACTAAATAACATGCTGGGAGGTAGAGCTGGGATTTTTGGGTAGCTAGGTGTGTGGTGCCTGAGTCCTTCATGATACAAGAAGTGAGCAGCCCTGTTCAGCCTCGGGAGGTAGGAGACTCTGACAGGTGCTGCAACACAGATGAACTTGGAGGACGCTGTGCTGAGTGAAAGAAGCCAGGCACAATGCACACTCCTATGAAGTACCTAGGGTAGTCACATTCATAGATACAAAAAGTAGAGTGGCAGTCGTCAGGGGCTGGAGAGGGGAGGGAGAATTAATGTTTAATGTGTTCAGAGTTTCAGCTGGGGAAGGTGAAAAAGTTCTGGAGGTGGATGGTGGTGATGTTTGTACAACAGTGTGACTTATTTATTGCCACTGTGCAGTACACTTAAAATGGTTAAAATGGCAAAATAATTATAACTTTTTGTGTGTAGTGGGGGCGGTAAGCAGACCACCCTCTCCCAGCTTGTATCATTCTCTGCTCTCTTGCGGACACAGTGATCTCTACTCCTTTGGTTGTGTTGCCTGATGTGTGATGAGCAGTCCTTTTACACCTGCTCAGGGACAGAACAAACACAGCTCTGCCTACCTTACTTCTCGAACTGTATTAAGCTCTCTTTGTTGCTTTCGCCCAAGAAAATACGGATATGTACCTGTTCCTCCAGAGATGGATATTGGCCTCACTTAGAGTAAACTTAAATCTGGCAGCTCTGTTCCTAATAACTTTTGATTTCACTATAGCATTGAAATGGAATCTTTTTGAAAGACAAATTAACTGTTAGGAACTCAAATTTAAGTTAAAGTTTAAACACAAGTGTTGCAATTAAAGCTAACCATCCAACCCACACGGCCCTGGGAGGAAGAGATACTGCATCTGCATGGCTGGGTTGGCACGAGCACCGCTGGTGACAGCTGTGTCTCAGCTTGGATAGCAGGCATCTTTTGGAACTGACAATAAGAGGTATTCCGAAATCTTAAATGGGGGTGAGGGGAGGATTGTTTACCAGTTGTGGTTCTTTTTTTTTGTGGGGGGAGGGGGGGACAGGATCTTACTCTGTTGCCTAGGCTAGAGTACAGTGGTGTGTCCATGGCTCACTGCAGCCTCAAACTCCTGGCCTCAAGTGATCTTCCTGCCTCAGCCTCCCAAGTAGCTGAACCCACATGCATGCATCACCATGCCCAGTTAATTTGTTTTTATTTTTTGTAGAGACAGGGTCTCGCCAGATTGCCAGGTGGTTTCAAACTCCTAGCCTCAAACAATCCTCCCACCTCTGCCTCCCAGAGTGCTGGGATTACGAGTGCTAGCCACCGCGCCCAGCCCAGTCATCGCTTTCAATGTCAAGCCAAAGAAGCTGATTCTGACTAATTTAAGCAGAAAAGAAAGTTTTTGGGAAATTTTTCACAGGATTAATGGGAAAGTTGGAGAACTAGGCTTCGAAAAGAGTTAGGAAGCCACCACCACCATGAATACATGAATAAATTCTTTTTTTTTTTTTTTTTTTTTTGAAGCGGAGTTTCGCTCTTGTTACCCAGGCTGGAGTGCAATGGCGCGATCTCGGCTCACCGCAACCTCCGCCTCCTGGGTTCAGGCAATTCTCCTGCCTCAGCCTCCTGAGTAGCTGGGATTACGGGCACGCACCACCATGCCCAGCTAATTTTTTGTATTTTTAGTAGAGACGAGGTTTCACCATATTGACCAGGATGGTCTCGATCTCTTGACCTCGTGATCCACCCGCCTCGGCCTCCCAAAGTGCTGGGATTACAGGCTTGAGCCACCGCGCCCGGCCCAATAAATTCTTATTTTCGCTGTGTCTTTGCGTCCTTCCCTCAAGGCTCAGTGCTCCTCTCTGGTGGAAGGAGGTGAATGTCTGACTCTAGATCACATGCCTATGCTCCACCTTGCTAAGGAATGGGGCAAGGGACTCTGCCACACCTTCAGCCTCCACAGCCATAAAGGATACCTCCTGACCCAACAGGAAGGGTATCCAGCAAAAGCAACTAAGGTTCACTCCATGTGCACCCTGGACACTGCATTTTCTTTGATCTGTTTTTGAACCTTCAGATACCCCATCTGGCCTCTAGGAAGACCACATGCCTGAGTGGTCAGGTCAGCGTGGTGAATCAGTCATTGGAAAAGCAGGTCCCCATGCAGGTCCATCTATGGGTGGACCCCAAAGCCTCTTTCCGGCACCCAGCGAACAGCCAGCTCATTCATCTGCTGAGGATCTCCAATCGTGTGAGCTAGGGCTGTCTGTGCACAAGTCTGTATCAAATGACAGTAGCACTTAGTGTTACCATAGGGGGCAATTTGTTCTGGCCTTTCAGGGTCAGAGCTCAGTGAAATTCTTGACTCTAAATCTTTACCTACAATGTGTGACCCCATCAGTAAGGTCTTTGGTATTCCTCTGACCTAAACTAGCTGCTGACAGCAATGAAAATAAACTCTGGCCCACATTCCAAGAACCGCCTTTGCCTTCCTTATCCCCAAGGAGTCAGGGAGTGCCGCAGTGAGACGGAACAGAGAAATGAAAAGCGTGAACTGGAAGTATCCACACGTGTGGCCGCATAAACACCACACTCAGGACTGCGGCTTCCTCTGGGGAGGAGGCGGGGGAAGGGCTCAGGGAGGGGTGATGGGCTTCAGCATTACCAAGTGTTCTGTTTTCTTTGTGAAAAATGGACCTGAACCCAGTTTGCTTGTTCAACTATTATTCCTCTAGCACCTCTTCTTCAAATCCATGGAAACCTTAGTCCACAGACCCTCTTTCCTTTCACCTAATGGATTATTCCCCCAGATACTGCCTCCTCTGCCTCAGATCCACACCTTCTCCACCCCCACAGCCAGCCAGGGTCTCACAATCGATGGTGACATTTTTGTATTTATGCTTTCGTTTGTATCCATAGATGGTTGAGTATTTTGTATTTCAACATTTTATGTGAACGTTATCATGCTGTACATACGTTTTCACTCTTGTTCTATTCTGGAGATTTACCTGTGTTGACAAGTGAAGATCTAGTTAGTTCTCATCTCTGTACGGTCTCTAAGTAAACTAGACTTGGTTTTTAAAAGTATTTGAAATAGCAAACAAAGCAAAGTGTCAACATTTGTTAAAATTATGTGGTAGCTACATCAGCATTCATTATATGATTCTTTGGATGTTTCTGTATGTTTGAAAGTTTTCAAAATGTAAAAGAAGAGGGGAGACCCCTAGCATGGGGGTACAGCAAGGTGACATCTCAGCACTAGCTGGGCCGGATTTAGACTCTGCTCCTGCAGCTAATCAGACTGAAATTCAACGTCAGCTTTGTGGGATTGGCCTCCTCTTGTTTGCTTTTCATGGGCATCTGCCTCCCTGGGGAAAGGCCTGAGAGTCTTGACCTTGGGCTGAGGAGTGTTTATGCAGCTGCATGATTTGTGGAAGTGGCCAGGGTAGGCCGAACAGAATTTGCTGTGGGCTTGGCCATTTTAAAAAAGAAATTGGCAAGAGACCATTTCACACAATGGCTGCGATATGTAATTTTTAAAAATATTTACAATATACCCAAGCTATAAATAGTCCAAAAATAAATATTGATCGTAACGCTGGCTGGGCCAACCTTTGACCTCCTTAGCACTCTACAAACTTGGGGTAAGCAAAGGCAGTGCCTCTTCTGTTACGCTTACTTGCTTACTGGACACCCCATGGGATGCCAGGTGGCCTTCAGTTGTCTTTTTTCTCTATCTGGGGCTTTCAGAAAAGTGAGACTTTTCAGAAGTAAGACCTTTTGACTCATGGCCTGTGTTTTTACAGAACCATTGGTCAATTTTTCCATCAAGCAAATGGTCTGTGTTAGGTGAAATAAGGCGCTCATGAAGACTAAATGAAATCGCAGACATGGAAGTCTGCAATTCCCAAAGTGACCATGAGCCCCATTCTATTCCCTCCCTCCTCTACGGAAGGGGCCCCCAGATCCTTCCCACCCAGATTCATCTCGGCCTGTGATTTTCAAGTCACCAGACCTCCACTGCCTCCAGGTTGAAGACAGGGGTCTTCCCTGGCAGCTGCTGGGGAGTGAGACTATTCTTGAGCCCTCTCAGTAAACGTGTCTCCTGCAGTAGTGGCCACACTGACGTGTTCTTCTCTCCACCCAGGCTATGATTTCTGCCAGGTCCTGCAGTGGTTTGCCGAGAGGGTGGACAGGATCATCCTTCTTTTTGACGCTCACAAGCTGGACATCTCAGACGAATTCTCAGAGGCCATCAAGGCCTTCCGGGGGCAAGACGACAAGATCCGTGTGGTGCTGAACAAGGCCGACCAAGTGGACACGCAGCAGCTGATGCGGGTCTACGGGGCCCTCATGTGGTCCCTGGGCAAGGTGATCAACACACCCGAGGTGCTGCGCGTCTACATTGGCTCCTTCTGGGCACAGCCCCTGCAGAACACGGACAACCGCCGGCTCTTCGAGGCTGAGGCCCAGGACCTCTTCAGAGACATCCAGAGCCTTCCCCAGAAGGCAGCGGTGCGCAAACTCAATGATCTCATCAAGCGAGCGAGGCTGGCCAAGGTAAGCCAGGATGTGCCCTGCACAGAGGCCAAGGGCTGGGACTCTGCCCTCTCCTCTCCAGAGGCAAGATGTGTGGGAGGAAGCTCCGTCCAGAAGCCTTAGGGAATGAACACACCCTAGGGCGTGGTGAGTCACACCTGTAATCCCAGCATTTTGGGAGGCCAAGGCAGGCGGATAATGAGGTCAGGACTTCAAGACTAGCCTGGTCAATACGGCGAAATCCCGTCTCTACTAAAAATACAAAAATTAGCTCTGAGTGGTGGCGGGCATCTGTAATCCAGCTACTTGGGAGGCTGAGGCCGGAGAATCGCTTGAAACCAGAAGGCGGAGGTTGCAGTGAGCCAAGGTCGCACACCTGCATTCCAGCCTGGGCAACAAAAGAAAAACTCTGTCCCCATAAAATAAAAAACAATACAGCCTCAAGGTCAGGTGTCCCTGCTGACACCCTAGCTCCTGGCTCTGCACTCCTGGGCAGATGACTAACCCTATTCTCCAGTCTGTACCGTGGAGTTAATAAGACCACCTCACAAGGTGCTTATGAGGGCTTGGGGTGACGGTTTGTCAGTGTGACAGAGCACCTGGCATAGTTTCTGGTGCACAGGGAGGGATCAGTCACTGCACCCGCTACATGGTAGCTGTTAGGATGTCAGGATGATAGGAATACAACCAGCCAACCCTGAGAGAGGTGGCATTGGCGACCAACAGGATGCTGAGGCCACTGCTATTCTCCTTGCACCAAAGGCCAGTGTTACTACCTGGATTCAGGGGAGACCTGGCTCACCCTAACCCTTGGAGTGTGCTGGTGTGGAGTCACACCCCAACCTCATTCTGGGATGCAGGGTAGGAGCCTGCATGCCTGGGCTCCAGGCTCCCTTGCCTCATAGCTGAGCCTTTCAGCAGCCCCAGCAGTGTATACCCAATGGGGCAGTGACAGGTGACCTGTTGACATCCCTCAAGTGGCAGAGTCAATTCATGTCTCCAAAGAGAGAAAAGTGCATCACTCCTCCAAGAGAAAATACAATGAAAAAAAAATGGCTCTTTAAAAACTACGTGCATGTTTCATAAAATCATTGTCCTCTAATGCTGGAAGTGCCTTTAGAGTTTTCTCTAGTCCCAGTGAAGTTCAAACCTGGCTGATCAACAGAAGCAACATACATCCCAGGCCCTGCCCCAGAGCCTCGGCCAAAGGGGGGCACATGCACACATAGCCATGTGTACATATACAAATGTGTAAGCGCATACGCGCGCGCGCGCGCGTGTGTGTGTGTGTGTGTGTGTGTGTGTGTGTGTGTGTGTAGAGCTCCCTAGGGAATTCTGATGATCAGCCAAGATGGAATCTAAAGACCTGTGCCGGCTGCCTAATCTTACAAGGAAAAGGCAAGTAAGTGACTTCTCCAGGGTCACCTAATCCAATAGGGACAAAGCTAGGACAAGAAATCAAGCCTCCTAGCCCTCAGGCCAGCCTTCCGCTTTGGACCCCGTCACCTCAGCTGACACCGATCCGCAGGCCTGAATCTCCAGATCCACTAGTACTTGGTCAGGAAATGAAGTCAGCTCACCTTCCCTTTTTCTTCCAGCAGCAAGGAACCCATGTCCCCTCCCACATTCCTCTTACTTCTCAGTGAGTGGATGGGCCCTGGGGCCCAGCAGGTCAGCCTTCTGGTCACCGCCACTTTGCCCCATTCAGTCACCAGGTGCTCAGCACCCCTGGGCCAAGGCCAGAAGTCTCACCTGGTGGAGAACAAACACCCTGTTGCAGAATGGGGAGCTATGTGCCAGTCACGGTGTAGACGCTGCCATGATTCCAGAGGCAGGGAAGGCTTCCCTGAGGGTGACAGCTGAGATAGGGCCAAGCCTTCCTCCTTCCTGCTGCTCATTAGCAGCCTGTCCTCATACCAGTATGCTCACAGGGCAGCCTCTCACCTGGGTGAAAATGAACACCTCCCTGGCTGCTGCTGCCCCTCACACAGGACCTCGATGTCTTGTGTCCCTCTCTGTCACCTGTGTCCCGGTGCATGCACACGCATTCCTCTCTGTGGCTCAGCTGACCCTCGGTGGCGTGGTGCTTGTGTGAGTCACCCTTCTTTATCCATTCTTCCTGGTGCAGGTGGCTTCCTTTCCAGAACCACAAGTCAGTTTTCTCCCAATTCTGCAAGGCAGTTGTGCAAACTAGTCTGTAAATCCACTTACGTACAGCTCTCCTGAAATGATTTCTCCCTCGCCCTTGTCCTGGGCCTAATGCTTGGTAGCAGGAAGGATGGTGATCCCTTGTCTTACGGTATTTCCTTTCTCCAGCCGGTACAACTGAACTTAACCTTCAGGGTTTACGACACCTCACATTATTTTATAACCAAAGTTGGTAACTCTTGTCATAGCCTTTGCAGATTTAAAGGGTTTTTTTTTTTTTTTTTTTTAACTATTTTTAAGTGCTCAGGACATTCTTCATTTACCAGTTATTGCTGAGGACCCAGTGACTGGTCCATTTAATTTCCCCTGGTCATACCCATTAGATGCCTTGGGGCTTCTGCAACCTTAAACAGGGCAAAGGATGACTTAAACAAGATACGAATGTTCAGAAACCCCCAGGGGTCGGTGTCATTCACTTGTGAATTAAACTCTTGGAACCCAAATTCCTATAAGCTGCTGTAAGTCATATAAATAAATAAGGAGCAGAAAGCTCCCTGGAAATGCCAAGCTCCTTAACCCATAGAGCTTCCCTGCCATCCCTGAGCGTTTCGCCCTCTGAACGGGCCAGCGTGGCCAGGGTGTGGAGAAGCACAGAACACTGCTGTGTATTCTAACGCTGGGAAGAATGAAAACCCTTGTGTGGATGCTGGGAGTGGGGGGCAGTTAAACTTGCTGAGCTTACTTATAGGAAAAAGGCTCGTGGGGTTTTTTCTTCCTAAGAATAGTATCTGGCTTGTTCTTTTCACAAAGGAAAACGTTTGAAGTGCGGATATTTGCAGCCGGAGCTTCTTGGTGCCAGTGGCTCGTGGGCAGTGCGGTGCTGGGGTTGGGGACGGGAGTCGGGCTCTGCCGGAGGAGAAGCCAGCCTCGGCCGCTCACTCGTGGCACTGACTTCACACCACCGGCCGTTTCACCTCCCGCCGCCGACTCGTTTGTGCTTCAATGGACAGAGCCTTACCTGAGTTTTTATTTTTGGACTATTTCCCGAAAGTGCTTTTATTTTGGTGTATTAACCTTTCTCTTGATCCAGTTTTCCTTTTCTCACACCGACAGTGTTCCCAAGCTCTGTAGTCTGCGTTCCGTGTGCTGTTCTGTTGGATCCTGTTGACAACTACACAGTTCGGCACTTCTGTCCTCATTTCTCCCCTCAGGAAGCCGAAGCTCAGAACGGTGACGTTATGTCCCCAAGGCTTCACAGCCTGTAAGCCGCTAAGTATACGTTCAAACCGTTCAAACCTCGGTCGGTGTGACTCCAGTCCAGAAAGCCGTCACCTGAAACCGGGAGTGAGTGGCAGCTGCAGCAGCTCCTCATGTCCTTGATCTCCACACTGACCCTGTTACTCTGTTAATTCTGTGAACGTCTCCGTCCACAGAAACCCTACAAAGTTTAGGTTTCTCAAGCTGACCCTTTGAAAACATACAAAGGGTAAGTTTGCAGATGTCAGCTAAGAGGTGTCAAGTCTGAGTTGGGTTGTGGAGTGTGTTTATTTATAGAACACCATAATTAAGCAGGACTCATGGCCGATCCAGATAAAGAAGTGCGTCATCGTTTTGATCAAACTCAAGGTGTCATAACGATGGCATTTTAATAATATGAAAAGTAGATCCTCTTCCCAAAAGAGCTCTTGAAGCTTCTTTCCCTGCTTTTTCTGTTTACATACTTTTTTCACAACTCTCTATTTAAGGAGCAGGGAACCTTTAGAGTGTGTTTTTGGTTATTCTCAAAGATCACTTCTTACCGTCTCAGTAGATACCCTTCTTGGAAGACAGCTCACATGCTGAGATGCCAATCAGGGTTCATTTCATGATGCTTTAAAGGAAGCTATATTTTGGGAAAGCCCAAAAAAGGATTTGGAAAATGTCATTTGCTTTTATTCAGCTATAACTAAAATAGCCAAATTAAAGAAATAAGACTCACAGAAATCCCAAAGGATACTACTCCTGAGATACATGAACAAAAGTAAGGCAAGCTCATATCAGACCCCACCCTTTAGAAACATATTGCCCAAGAGTAGGAAAGGCTGTCACCCATTTGGAGCTCTTTGCTCAATAAAAAATGAGGCAACATTTGAGGAAGAAACAAGTAAAACCGAGAAGAGGAGAGGTCAGTGATTTTCGAGGTTCACTGTAGTTCTGTGGAATTTAGCTTATTCTTTCAAATGTATTCTCTTCTCAGTCACATGTGATGTGCAGAGCCTGGCTTTCCTGTCTGTTAGGACCATCAAATTCCTCCTCTAGGCCTGGCGTGATGGCTTATGCCTGTAATCTCAGCACTTTGGAAGGCCGAGGTGGGTGGATCACCTAAGGTCAGGAGTCTGAGACCAGCCTGGCTAACATGGTGAAACCCCATCTCTACCAAAAATACAAAAATTAGCTGGGTATGGTGGCAGGTGCCTGTAATCCCAGCTACTAAGGAGGCTGAGGCAGGAGAATGGTGTGAACCCGGGAGGCAGAGGTTGCAGTGAGCCGAGATTCGGTCATTGCACTCCAGCCGGGCGACAAAGCATGTGTCCAAAAAAAAAAAATTCCTTCAATAGAGAAATGAGGCCTTTTTTGTGGAGGCTGAGGCAGGAGAATGGTGTGAACCCGGGAGGCAGAGGTTGCAGTGAGCCGAGATTCGGTCATTGCACTCCAGCCGGGCGACAAAGCATGTGTCCAAAAAAAAAAAATTCCTTCAATAGAGAAATGAGGCCTTTTTTGTGCACCAAATGGATCTAGGCTAACGTGTGTGGGAATCACGATATGATGGATAATGAAGACCATGGTATTGCCTAGTCCCCAGCGGGGCTCTAAAAATAACTCAGTCAGCAGCCCTGAGCTACTGTGCATGTGTGCGTGTCAGTGCTTGAGCCCATAAATGGAAGCCTGTCTCTTTGAAGGTTGACCTCAGATGACTGTGCGGCCCCCTCCGGTCCCCTTTAAGGCTGCTCAGAATTACACGTGCCATTGGTGCCTGTTTTGATCTGAACAAAATAACAAACTGTCACTCAAGTGGGAATGTGCCAGCCGCCTTTCTCTGCCTCCCGTAGTCTCACTACTGTTACCCCGCAGGTTCCTCTTTTGGGTCTAGGGATTAATAATAACTGAGTTTTTCACAAACCCACTTTATAAATGTGCTGATACCCTGGTTTTAAATACTCTATGCAGGTTTCCAGAGCTGGTCTTCCAAAGCCACACGTCTCCAGCAGGTCGTGTTCAGGTTGCAGATGAGTGTGGCACAGTGTGTCACCATGCCTTCCCAGCCCGCCTGCCATAAAATACCGCCTGATCCTCACATTCCATGAAGCTTTTCATTCCAGCACTGGTCACTTCCGGCATCCAGCACTCACTGAAGTTACCCTCTGAGCGCAGAGTGGATGTGGCCCATATCACTCTTGAGTACAGTGATATGGGCAACATCTTTAGTCTTGGAGACAGAGAGAGAGAGACACACACACACATTGGACACAATTGATGAGATCTATGTCAGGGTGTAACTGTGAACTACATATACATTCATATACATATAAAGGGGAGGACATTCCTTTCTGCTCATTGAGTTATTAGCCTAGAGAAAAATTGTCATTTTGTCATTTTGATCCGTTTGATTTCCCCCAGTCATCCCCATTAGATGCCTTGGGGCTTCTGCAGCCTTACACAAGGCAAAGGATGACTTGAACAAGATATGAATGTTCAAAAGCCCCCAGGGATTAATGTCATTCACTTGTGAATTAAACACTTGGAACCCAAATTCATTATATTATTATTTAAATATACAGAGTCTGAATTCTTTGGTAAGGACCAACCAGCCGGGAACCCTCTCTGTCATGACTGCACCTCCACCTGTAGGTCTTTGGCCATTAGTTGATAACAAGTAACATTTGCTCCTCTTTCTAGTGAGAGCGGGCATTCAAATCCATGATCTCTTTTATTCTCTTAACTCTGTGAGATGAATGTCGTTGTCATTTCCGATTTGTGGATGAGCACACTGAGGCAGAGATCCCACGCCCGGCCCCAAATTAATTGCTCAGTGGGTAGGCCGTGGTCAGGGGCCTGAACCTCATCTTCCAGCGCTAGGTCTCATCCCCTTCTTCTCTTTCCTACTCCTCCCCTTCCCAATTAGTTTTCTCTATATATAAACGTTAAAAGACATGAGTGTTTCCACCTCCTTCCCCAGGGACAACTGCCAGGTCTGGCCCTCGGTCTGGCATTTATTTGGAGACGCCTTTGACACATAAGTGCAGGAGTGAGCTTTGCAGGCTGTCTGTGGATTTTAGCCATTCAAGCTGTCCCATTTGTTTACCAAACGACTTTAGAAAATGACAGGGTGCCATCCTACCAGCAGCTCTCAAGCATCACCCGCATTCCCACGTAGTGTCCTGACGTTTGTGTGCCATCATTGTGTCCGAGTTTGATGTGTGGGGAAAGGGAGAATAAAGGACCCTTCCAAAGCCTCTCATTGAATTTGGCACAGTCAGAAGTCAAACCTCAGATCAAAGTTTTCCAAACTCACTCTATGGGACACAGTTCATTTTGAATTCCAGATTTTGAACAACTTCAATAAAATGATTAATGCATACCCACAGGGAGTCATTAGTTCTGGAAGGACAGGAACGAGGCACTTGGATGCTAGTGCCCGCTCTATAGCTGCCAGCTAGCCGCATGACCTTGAGTGAGTCACATGGACATCCTGGAACCAGGAATTAAATTAGACGTCAGGGGTCACTTCCAGATTCAATACTCCGTGATGCTAACAACTATAATTTACCTTGTGACTTGATGAACTTTATATTTTTTTATTTTAATTTTTTTGAGACAGAGTCTCATTCTGTTACCTAGGCTAGAGTGCAATGATGCAATCTCAGCTCACTGCGACCTCCACATCCTGGGTTCAAGCGATCCTTCTGCCTCAGCCTTCCAAGTAGCTGGGACTACAGGAGCACAATACCACACCCAGCTAATTTTTGTATTTTTACTAGACACGAGATTTCACCATGTTGGCCAGGCTGGTCTCGAACACCTGACCTCAAGTGATCCACCTGCCTTGGCTTCCCAAAGTGCTGGGATTACAGGCATGAGCCACTACGCCCAGCCAACTTAATGAACTCCTGAAAGCAGGTCCGTGCACAGAAGCCGGCCTTGGATTATTGTCTAGGACACACCAGGACGGGCAGGAGGCCGGTCGACGTGCAGAGGCAGTGTAACAGGAGACTTCTACAAAACAGGCCAACAGAACTTCCTAGAAGTGGAGGCTGGGGCCGAGAGCAGTGCAGTGTGAGCAGGCCACCTAAGGGCCATGACTCAGGTGGCACCAGGCTGGCAGAGGAGGAGGGAGCTGAGACCTGGCATGAGATCAGCCCCAGGTTTGTCAGACTCTGTTGGCCGGGAGTCCGGGCAGCCTCAGTCATCAGCCGGCAAACACCACGAGGCTGGAGCTGAGAGAGCAGGTGCCACTCAGAGGGTGGAGGGTGTGGCAGGTGCACATCGGCTGAGTTCAGTGCAGGTAAAGCAGGCCCCGGGCACAAGGGAGTGTTCAGGAACAGGGTGTCCAGTGTCAGGAGGCCAGGGGCTAATTGAGGAGTCAGCCTGATGAGGAGCGGAAACTAAGCCCTCCCTGAGCTGGGGCCTGGTGGCTCAAAGGTACCTTACTAGTAGGCAGCGAGGGGTCTTGGGGAGCCCTGCAGGGGCCTGGCAGCTGCTTCAGGGCTAGGCCCCAAGGCAGGGAGTGGGGTGGTCTCAGAAGCCCTTGTGTTTGGGAGACTGAGCAGCTCTGGGGCCTCCTACTTCCCTTGGGTTGGCTCCAGGATGGGGTGAGCCTGAGCACAGAAGAGAGAGGTATACATAGGCCCAGTCCAGAAGTTCTAGGAAGGCGGAGGCTAAGGAAATGATGACAGCTGGTGAGCAGCTGGTTCTCCCTGATGGAGCGTAGCAGCCCCTCCAGTCCGAGGGTACTCCCCCAGCCCCAGCCCTCCCCAGCCCACCCACACCAAGCCAGGCATTCACTGTGGGAAGTGGAGGAATTGCCATCTTATCACTTGCTCATCACAGCCTCAGGAGTGCAGTGAAAGCCCAGGATTCCAAATAACGGATCCCACACTTCGGGTTTCTCTAGTTATCTCTAAGAATCTTGTAAATAATTTCAGTTGTCTTTATTTGAAAAGTAAGTACATAAACGGGTTTGCTGGTGACAGAAAAGTTTAGCACCAGCTCTCCAAGCGCATCCTCCCAGCGGTGGCCAGGCAGCACAGTGTGTGCTTCTGTTAAGCGACACTCATGCAGAGGGGAAGCTGGCATTGTCTGGAATGAGCATGTCAGACATTGCATTAGGTACTAAGGTTAGTGTCCATATCCTCACAAAACGTTTTTGGGTATGTCCAGCATGTGCACAGGCCCTCAGCTGAGCTATTGAATGTATCTGCTTCCGCCTTTATTTAATTTCAACTCCTCCACAAGATTACAGTAGAAGTCTGTTTTCTTTAATAGGATTTTCCATTGCTATATAGTCATTTTTATTTTTTTGTAATCACCATTCTGTTTTTCATCCTTTCTTATTTTAGTTACTTACTTGACTTCACAGTTACTCTGTGGAATTCAAGATATATAAAGAGGCCGGGCACAGTGGCTCATGCCTGTAATCCCAGCACTTTGGGAGGCTGAGGTGGGTGGATCACCTGAGGTCAGGAGTTGGAGACCAGCCTGGCCAACATGGCGAAATCCCATCTCTACTGAAAACACAAAAATTAGCCAGGTGTGGTGGCACGCGCCTCTAATCCCAGCTACTCAGGAGGCTGGGGCAGGAAAATCACTTGATACAAGAGGTGGAGGTTGCCGTGAGCCCAGATCACACCATTGCACTCCAGCCTAGGCAACAGAGCAAGATTCCATAGCAAAAAAAAAAAAAAAAAAAAAAAAATACAAAGAGAACTTTTGTAGTGAACATTTCTTAATATCCTAAAGTTGGAAATCAGTAGAAGAGTGGAAATGTTAAGGCCAGATTCCCACGCCTCCAATGACAGCCTGCTGCCTACCCCAGCCCCCAGTGATCAAGGCTTCTGGGGCTTCTCCCGTGGACTCGAGGCTCCTCTCCCAGGGGGATCTTCTGCCATCCAGGCTGATCCCAGGCAGCTGGTCTTGTGCAAAAATGACTTCCGTTCAACCTGTAGAGATCCCAGAGTCTAAATCTCCCATAACAGGGGAATTATGGGAATTCTCATCTCATCGTTCACTGAGCACAGATTTCCATGCTGATCAGCCATTGTCACCAGCCTCCAGTGTCATTTCCTGGTGCTCCAGGGCACCAGCCTGGTGAAACTTGCTAATGGGTCTTCTGGATAATTGCCGGACCTAAGAGCTATCTCGCCCAGGCGCCAGCCATACCACTCACTCCCTATAGACATCGGAATTGCCACTCAGAGGCACAACAGAATTGTAGCTGTAGAATTTCCCCAAGTCTGGTCACATTCCAGCCACCCTTAGACAGCTCCACTCCCCCTGGACCCTCCCCTCCTCCTATCCTTGGGACCTGGTCTGGTGCCTGTTATGGGTTATCATGTAGGTAAAATGTGATCTCATTTGTTCCTTCTCTGGTGCAATTCTAAATGACACTTCCCTGCCTGATCTCTATCTACCCCTCCAGGTGCATGCCTATATCATCAGCTACCTGAAGAAGGAGATGCCGAGTGTATTTGGAAAGGAAAACAAGAAGAGAGAGCTTATCAGCAGGTTACCAGAAATCTACATTCAGCTACAGCGAGAATACCAGATTTCTGCAGGGGACTTCCCGGAGGTCAAGGCTATGCAGGTACTGGGAGCCCCTTAGAATGTCATGGGCAGAGGGCTGAGATGCAATGCCACGTCATCTGGCTGTTTGCTGGAGACACATGAGGGGTTCGTGGTTTAGGATCAAGGAGAATGCAATGAATTCATCTTCCTAATGGTGATCCATGATAATAGGCTATGAATAAAGCAGAAATTGCCTGTCTTCCAAAATGCATAAACAGGCCAGGCGCGGTAGCTCACGTCTATAATCCCAGCACTTTGGGAGGCCGAGGTGGGTGGATCACCTGAGGTCTGGAGTTCAAGACCAGCCTGGCTAACATGGTGAAACCCCATCTCTATTAAAAATACAAAAATCAGCCAGGCGTGGTAGTGGGCACCTGTAATCCCAGCTACTTAGAAGGCTGAGGCAGGAGAATCACTTGGCCTGGGATGCAGAGGTTGCAGTGAGCTGAGATCATGCCATTGCACTTCAGCTTAGGTGACAAAAGTGAGACTCCATCTCAAAAAGTGTAAACAAAGGAGACACACAGCCAAAGGTAAATGAAGCTCCTATGAGAAAGTCAGATGAGAGCCCTCCTAGACTGTGTCCAAGGAGGCTGGTTGATGTTACAGTGACACTGTTCTTTGGAATCCCAGAACCTTGAGGGAGTCAGAGCTGAGAGTGGCCTTGAGGGTCACCTTGGGCAGCCTCCTCAAGCCCTGCACAGCCCTGCCCCATGCTGTGGGATTATGTGCTCAGGCAGCCTTGCTGTGCAGGCTCAAGGACTCCCGCAGGGGCTGTGGGGCTCTGCAGGCACTGCTGGACTGTGTGGGCACAGGGAGCACTGAGCTTAAAGGCTGGCCCCGGGCAGCCGTTGGCCTGCTGTCAAGGCCTCTCTTGAGCTGTGGCTGGGCGGCTCCAGCCAGGCATGAACAGGGGCCACATTCAGCCACCCTGGCCTGACCGGCCTATCTACGTCTCTGCACTGGTGTTAGATGAGCGTGTCCTCCTAAGTGAGGCCACCGTCTTGGCTTCTGGGCTGACAGTCCTCACAGAGCCAGGCTGGCCATTTTCTAATCTGGTACAGGGACCCCTCTGCTCTGGAGGCCACAGTCCTCTCTGTATAGCAGGAACCACAAAGTCAGATGCCTGCAGCCACCAGCCAATAATGTGAACAGTGGGGCAGACTAGGCGGAAGAGAAACTCTGGCACCCTCTCTAGGTTTTCCCACGTTTGATAGAGAAGAGGGTTTCGAGAAACATGTGTCAGCAAGGAAGAAAACCATCCTGCAAGTGTGCCGAGCACGTGTCAGGGTCTCATGGCAGGGCAGATCGGACGGTGCCGAAGCCCTGTCTCGCCCAGGGGTCACCACCCTGTGGGAAAGCAGACCTAGAAGGCTCAAGAGAAGCCGGAAATCTGGACTTGTGTGTAAAATCACCTGATTTTCACATTTTGGCTCAAAAAAATACTATGTAGGGCAAACAAAGCCCACCTGCCTACCGGCTGCACACGGAGACCACCGGTTACCGTCTTTTGCCTTGAGCCACAGAGTGACAGCATTGAAGCCAGCGTAATTTAACAAGTGCGAGCAGATGCAGGCGGAGGCAGGAGGAGGGAAAGGTGAAAGTGGAGAGGATGCAGGGAGAGGGGAAGGTCAGGCAGAAGAGGCAAGGGCCAGGAGGCAGTGGGAGGAGAATTTTGATCCTGAGGGGTTTTTTAATGTAAGCTTTATATAAATTACATACTAACTCAGGGGTGGGTTTTTCTTTTTACCGTTTTGATGACAGCTCTTTACTCCTGGGTTCAGGGTGAATGAGTCTAGTACATGTGATTTGGCCAAATATGGTTTAGCTGTATTTATTTTAAAATATATACAGAGGGCTGGGCTTGGTGGCTCACACCTGTAATCCCAGCACATTGGGAAGCCAAGGCAGGCAGATCACTTAAGGTCAGGAGTTCAAGACCAGCCTGGCCAACATGACAAAACCCCATCTCTACTAAAAATACAAAAATTAGCGAGGTGTGGTGGCTGTAATCCCAACTACTCGGGAGGCTGAGGCAGGAGAATTGCCTGAACCCAGGAGGCAGAGTTTGCAGTGAACTGAGATCATGCCACTGTACTCCAGCCTGGGTGACACAGGGAGATCCCATCTCAAAAAATAAATATATATATACACACACATAGAGGCTGGGGGCAGTGGCTCACACCTGTAGTCCCTATACTTTGGGAGGCCAAGGCGGGCAGATCACTTGAGCTCAGGAGTTGGAGACCAGCCCGGGCAACATAGCGAAATCCCGTCTCTGCAGAAAATACACAAAAAATTAGCGAGGCATGGTAGTGCACGCCTGTAGTCTTAGCTACTCCAGAGGCTGAGGTGGGAGGTTTACGTGAGCTCTGGAGGTGGCAGGTGTAGTGAGCCAAGACTGTACCACTGCACTCCAGCCTGGACAAGTAAGACCCTGTCTCAAAAAAATACACTACACACACACACAGACACACACACACACACACACAGAGAGAGAGAGAGAGAGAGAGAGAGAGAGAGAGAGAGAGACAGAGAAATGTCTTTTTTTCTTCCAGCAATGAAATGGGTATTCCTGTGCTCCCAAGCTGAATTGGGTTTTTCTGGTCACCAGGGGGTATTGGAGGGCTGCTGTGGCTCTAGGAGCAATCTCCCTGGGCAGCTTCCCCATCCACGCCCATGGTTATGCCCCGCATCCCATGACCAAGCAGCTGTTTCCTTGTACCCTTCATATGTTTCCAAAGGGAACTTGGTTTCTTGACCTAGATGAAAGTTTTGAAGAAATCTGGAGCCTGCGCTGTGGCCCGGTAGGGGCCTCTGTGCCTCACTGGCCTCCTGAAGTTGCTCCAGTATCTTGCCGCAGGGAGACGCTGCTCTTGAGCCCTGAGGCTCCATGGAGGCCTCCCTTGCCAGGCCTCTTCTGCTGGTCTCCTGTGAGCCCTATAATGTAGGGAGCAGACTCTGGGACCTACTCATGACAAAGTAGGGAGCTACTCATGACAAAGTAGGGAGCTACTCATGACAGAGCTAGCCTGGGCTGGCCAGGTCAGAAGACACCAAGAGTCCTCTGGGCTGGGGGAAGACAGTGAGGAAAGCATGGTCTCAGGAGCAGCCATGGCCCACTGAGATGGAGGGTTCAAGGAGGGCCGAGCCTTTGCTGAGAATCACCTGGAGTCAGGTCCACACCCAGTACCTTAGCACTTTCGGTGGTGCGAAGGTCACCTGATGAGGTGCCCTGTTCACTTGTGTTTATTTAGTCATTCATCCAAGAAATATTAATTAAGCCTACAGGGCCAGGCACTGTTGACACAGGACTTTTCTGGGCCCCTTTGCCAGGATTACAGCAGGGGGTGCCTCGTCTACCCTGCTGGGCCTCATCTGGCCTGCATTTTGGCCTGCAGCAGCTCCCACGGCTGCCACAACTGCCTGCCTGGCCCCTTGAGGGAGGGAGCACGTAAGCAAGCAAGTAGAGGATCTGGCCGGCCACTCCACGTGCTCATGGAGAAGCAGGGTCCACAGCCAGACCAAATGTTCACCTCAAGGGGAATGTGCCAGTGCCCAGGCAGGGGTACCTGCAACGCCAAAGCCCCAGAGGAGGTGTTACAGTTCGCTATTTAGCTCTTTTAGTTCTGCGTTGTGTTAGCAGCTCAGTCAGCTTCTTGCCACACTCTGGCCCATGGCTCCAGGAGCAGCTCGGCCCCACCACTGCTTCTGTTGAGTGGGACAGCTACCCTCCACCAGTAAGGGTAGAGGGCCAGTGGCACCCGCCTTTGGTGGGTCACAGGCTCTTGTCCCACATCCAGGACGAATGAGGTCATGCTGACAGTTGAAGGGAGATGAGGGTGGAGGATTTTACCGAGCAAGGAAACAGCTCTGAGTGAAGAAGAGATGGGAAGGTTGTGTCGTCTCTCCCGGAGTCAGGTCATCTCCCCAGTGTGGCTGAGTCTGGGCTTTTTATAGGCATAGGATAGAGGGGTGCATGCTCATTGATTTGTGGGTGTGCCAAAAAGATCAAAACAAAGGCACCAGTCAAAGGTGGGCATGACAGTGTAAAAACACTTAGGGAAGGGTAGGTGTTTGTAAAATAGGTAATGGGTGGGGATCAATCAAAGGAAAGCAGCCAAATGGGAAGACAGGTTCTCAATCTGGTCCATGGATTTGAATTGTAACTTGGCCTTCAGGCTTTAAACTGCCTTTGGCTTGAGGATGGTGTTTCACAGGAGACCACCGCCCCATCTGCCTCAGCATTTGTCTGCCTGCTGCTGCTGTCACTGTTCTAGGCCCCTGTAATAAATCAGCAAAGAAAAAATGAAAAAATGGGGCTGGGCATGGTGGCTCATGCCTGTAATCCCAGCATTTTGGGAGGCTGAAATGGGAGGATTGCTTGAGCCCAGGGGTTGGAGAACAGCCTGGGCAACATAGTGGGACCCTGTCGCCATAAAAATATGTTAAAATTAGCCATATATGGTACCTCATGCCTGTGGTCCCAGCCACTCGAGAGGGTGGTGTGGGCAGTTAGCTTAAACCCAGGAGGTCGAGGCTGCAGTGAGCTATGATCATGCCAGTGTACTCCAGCCTGGGCGACAGAGGAGACCCTATCTCAAAAAAAAACAAAGGAAAAATGAACAAATGGGGGTAAAAGTAATTGACAGCAACCCCATTGTCAGGACACGTGATTCTTGTGCTTCTGTGTAACTGAATTATCAGATGTCTGATATTTAGTATCTCTCTTCCTGCTAAGTCTGTGGCTCCATGAGGTCAGTGACCCCATGCCCTATTCACTGCCATATCCCCAGTATCTAGGATGTAGAGGGTGCTCAGTTAACACATGTCAAGTGAATTAGTAAGTTAGTGTGAGGCTGTATCCCAGCAGGCTCTCGGGCCCTGACCCAGCCCCGATTCCCACAGGTCTTATAGACCAGAGGTTCCCAGTGCCAACCCCCTGTAAGCTGCAGGAAGAGGCCTCCTTGGAAAGTCAGCTGAGTCCCGGTCACACCACCCCATTCCTTCAGAGAATCCCCAGGGAACAAGGCAGCCTGGAGCCCGTCAGGAGTGCTCCGTGTCACCTGACACTGCAGGCTAGCTTGCAGTCACCAGAAGCTTTGAGGGGCACGTGTGTGGGTTAGGGCCTCTCCCATCCCTGAGGCTGTTAAGTCTAGCATCCTCTACAACATAGGCCTTGACAGAGGTGGGGGCATATGCTTAGAGGTAACCACATTGTGGTCTTTGCACACACCAGAGTCACTCAGAGAGCTGACTGACACCAGCATGAGGCTGGTTGCTGTTCTCCCTGTTATCTCATGGAGCCGGCTGGCTAGAGTGACTCTTAGCAGTGAGAGGAGCATGTATTTTGAAGGCTCATCCCTGTGCTGGAACAGACCCTGCAGCCCACCTGTGAGGCTGCCTCTGCGTGCCTGGCACGCTCTGGGGAGGGACCGTGACTGACGGCACAGTGTCAATGCTTCAGGAAGAGATGAGCACCAGAAGGGCCACTGTTAATGCTGACTCTGCTCCTCTCACTGGAAGGAGAATTTGGACCCCTCAGCTCGTGAGTTGGCAGCGTTTCAGCAGCAGAGGGCAGCAGAGTCAGCCCCATCTGCTCAGACCCTCTGGTGGATTTGAAAACCGTTCTGGCGAATGTTGGCAATTAATGAGCAAGGAACGGCCCCGCAGGAGACGGGGCTGGGCAATTCCAGGGTCCTAGATCAGTGGCTACAACTGTTGATGGGCAAATCAGTAAGTTCCCCAGTGTGTATTCATTGCAATGAAACTGTTTTGACCCACCGTGGCAGAGGGCAGGGATGATGATGGCTTAACTGGTGCTTCCACCACCCCCAGTAAGCCTGGCGGGGACCACAGGGATGAGAATGGAGGGTTTATTTCCTGGCTCCCTCCCGGGGCGGGAGTAACTGCTGCTTCCTGTCCACCCCTGCAAATATGCGGCTATTCCCCCTGCCAGTTTTCCAGAGCTCTGCAGTCGGAATCCTGCAGGCTGGTGGGAAGTTTGGGCAGGCGTCATCCTCCTTTGTCTGCTGGGCCAGACACAGGGCTCTGTGTGCACTCCAAACGCAGGCTTATTCTTAAGGAAATGGGGTAGGTGTTCACACACCCAGGGAATCCAAACTTGTTGACTCAGCAGCGCTGGGATTTTTGTGGGGGATGCCTGCTCCTCCACCTGCCTGGCATTCTCTTTTCAATCTCTGGCTGACTAAGATGTTGGAGGCAGGAGCCCGAAGTGCAGGCCACATCGTTTGATGCTGATGTCAGGAGTGACATGCTGGGTTTGCGCGATTTGATGGCTGCTGAGTTTGCCACCTGAGAAGAACGTCGGAGTCCCTTCCCTAGAGAGATGTTTGCCGGTTTAGCTGACTTCCTCAGCTCTGTCCCCCCCACCATCTACCACCCAGAAATCCCCTTCCAAATGTCAGCCCGGAATTCCTGCCCCATCACCCTAGATACCATGATTTTGATTCTCCATTGGAAACAAGCCGTGTGTCCAGCTACAGGCGACAGGGCAAATAAAGAATGGCTCCGCTCCAGTGCACAGTTCACTCTTCTGGAGATTTTAAGAAAAAGGTTATGTAAAAATTAATACCACATAAACATAGGGCACATTATTTGTTAACAGTGTGGTATTTGTGTGTGTGTGTGTGTGTGTGTGTGTGTGTGTGTGTGTGTGTGTTAGTGGCTGGAAATGCATGCCCAGATATGCTAGCAGAGGTTTTTGCCAGATGATGGGATTATAAATTGTTTAAAATTTTTTTTTCTTACCAGTTTTTTCTCGTTTTTTTTTTTTTTAAACAATAAAAGCATGATATTTATGGTAACAGTGAGGTGTTGGTTTTTTGTTTTTTTTGTTTGTTTGTTTGTTTGTTTTCCTAGCAGCCTTTCACATTGCTTCTGTCCAAAACAGCAAGGTCTGACTTTTCCTCGCCAATCTCTCTGCCTCATCTCCAGAAAACTGCACCCCTGCATGGCCTCTTTTGGTCCCTCTCTCAAACTGTACATACAGAAACACTTCACATATAAAGCCTGCCATACGTGGAATGATTCTGCATTTATTTGGTAAAACTGCAGTTGAAGACTTTTCATCAGAGCTTTGAAGCCCCTCATGTAAAGCTCTAGGGAACTCCCACAGTTCAGGGCAACAGAAAGCTTGTTTCTTACAATAAACAAGTGTTTTATCTCCTTAGACAGTGAGGATCCCCATGGCCCACCCTGGCAACTGAGCTCTCCTCCATATACAGGTAGTAATTTCCCTTAACCTTAGCCAGCTGATGTGATTATTCCCTTCCTCCCCCTAACATATTTATTTATTAGACTGGGTCTCATGCCGAGGCTGGTCTTGAACTCCTGGGCTCAAGCACTCCTCCCATCTTGGCCTCCCAGTGTGCTAGGATTACAGGTGTGAACCATGCCTGGCTCCTCTCCCTTTTAATGACTTGGCTTCTTTCTGTCTAATGGCTTAATATATTTCATGTTATCCTTTTCACTGTGTTATGTCAAGTTCTTTTTCAAGCAATTGCAATATCCTTTCTCCATTACAACATAAGCTCATTTAAAGCAGGAACAATGGCTTTTCCTATTTATTCTATATCCCCAAGCCCCAGAACATGGCTTTTCCTATTTATTCTATGGCTCCAAGCCCCTGATGCACAGCAAATGACAAATACAAGTTGGGCAGGTGTGGGTTGATGGATGGATAAAGGATGGATGAATTGTTGGTTCAATGGATAGATGGATGGAGGGTTGGTTGAATGGATGGATGGTTGGATGGAGGGTTGCTTGGAGGGATGGAGGGATGGATGGATGGATGGATGGATGGATGGATAGATAAATGGATGGGGGACGGATGGGGGGATGGATGGGTGGATGGATAGATGGATGGATGGATAGGTGAATGGATGGATGGATGGATGGACGGATGGATGGATGGATAAATGGATGGATGGATGGATGGATAGATAAATGGATGGGGGATGGATGGGTGGATGGATAGATGGATGGATGCATAGGTGAATGGATGGACGGATGGATGGATGGATGGATAGATGGTTGGGTAGATGGATGGGAGATGGATGGATCAATGGATGGATGGATGGGTGGATGGATGGATAGATAGATGAATAAATGGATGGATAGATGGATGGATGAGTAACCAAGGTAGGAAGGTCAGTTTCTTCAGTGCCATCTACAGAGCCTCTGTGGCATCCTGTTGTCTTCTTCAGCCTGGCTGGACAGTCGCAGTATTTCCCAGGCCCCCTCCAGACCTTGTGCTTCTGTTGCTGTGTGCTGACAGGCTGCCTCACTCAACAGGTGGAGCTAAGACCTGTCCTCACCTGGCCAGTGATACTCAGGCCTACTGGCTAGGTTTATCCAGTTGTGCTCCCTAGCCCTCCTTCCTGCTTTTACAAGTTTCAGCTTTTGCTTATTTGTCCATACTTTTGAAATGACAGTGGATTTGTGATGATTATTTTGTGTGAGCAAGGTCTCCCTGGCCCTGTCTCGATACCTTCCTGGGGTAGTGTGGGTGCTCCTAGTCAGGCTGTGCTTGGTGGAGCTGTTCCTAGAGGGTTTCTGTTGAGTAGCCTCCTCCGCTCATTCATAAGAGGTTAGAGCCGCTGAGAAGCTACCCTAAACTATGTTTTATAGGTACTCCGAAAGCGAAGTATTTAATTAATTGTTTTACCTAGATATAGTCCTTCCGTCACAGCTCTGTGCTGCAGCACAGAGAGCATTAGTCAGGAGACAGGCTCTGCCTTCACTCCGCCAGGCAGCCCCTTGCACTCTCTGTAAGCTGGAGTTCTAAATGCCTGCCCCTCTTTCCTCCCAGGATTGCTGTGAAGATTGGCTGAAGTGTGTAGCAAAATCCCTTGAGAAAGAGAATACTAACTCTAGAGCATTAAAAAATAGGCAGGCGAAAGGTTTCTCAGAGTCCTAGAAGGTTGCTGTCACGCATGCGGCCATCAGCGGAGATTGGCTGCCATAGGGAAAACACTTGTTTCTTGTTCCAAAAAAACACTCCTATATCTGGTGCATTTGGATGTGAGGAGCCCCCCGAAGAGTGCACCCCAGAGTAGTGCACATTGGGAAGTCTACCCTGGGGCAGAATTACTCTCCCTCCAGCTGCCCCCATCCTGTTTCCTCCTGAAGCCACAGAACGTAACCCATCCCGTGGTTTGTCCCTCTGCAGGAACAGCTTGAGAACTACGACTTCACCAAATTCCACTCACTGAAGCCCAAGCTGATCGAGGCGGTGGACAACATGCTGAGCAACAAGATCTCATCCCTCATGAACCTCATCAGCCAGGAGGAGATGAGCACGCCCACGCAGCTGGTGCAGGGCGGGGCCTTCGACGGCACCACCGAGGGCCCCTTCAACCAGGGCTACGGGGAGGGTGCCAAAGAGGGCGCCGACGAGGAAGAGTGGGTCGTGGCCAAAGACAAGCCCATCTATGACGAGCTCTTCTACACTCTGTCGCCCATCAATGGCAAGATCTCGGGTGTCAATGCCAAGAAGGAGATGGTGACCTCCAAGCTGCCCAACAGCGTCCTGGGCAAGATCTGGAAGCTGGCTGACTGCGACTGTGACGGCATGCTGGACGAGGAGGAGTTCGCGCTGGCCAAGCACCTCATCAAGATCAAGCTGGATGGCTACGAGCTGCCCAGCAGCCTGCCCCCACACCTCGTGCCCCCTTCACACCGGAAGTCCCTGCCCAAGGCCGACTGAGGGGTAGGCCGCAGAACGGGCAGGAACTGGAGGAGGGCCTCAGGCCTGCTCCACCATTGACTCACCAAATGACCTTGGGCAAGGCACTGCCCTCTCTGTGCCTCAGTTTCCCCATCTGTAGAATGGGGAGGGCAGACACTGGAAACTAGATGAGTTCTTTCACCTCCAAAATTCCCTTAGTTTCTGTGAAAATATTGGGGGTAGTGGGGGTGGATTAGGAGATTGAAGAGTTGAGAACAAACAGAAATTGTCCAAGGAGTCCCCAGAACAACCTGCCTGGAGAAATGCGCATGGAGATGAGCCTGCTGAGTCCCCCGGACCACCGGACGTGAGCCTGGCTTGTTCAGAGCAGCTGGGTCTTCAGGCTGCCTGAGCTGTTTGTCCTCATGAACAACTCTGGAGCAGCTATCTGTCCCTCAGGGGGCACCAGGAGGCAGCAAAGATTATCTTATTTATTTTATCTTGTCTTCTGCTATATTTAGAGTGGCAAAACAACAGAGCAGAAGGTTTCTGCTGTCTCCAGACTGTCTACCAAAGGGAAGGCGACAGATGCCTCTTGGGTTTGGAAGGGGATGCACTGTGGATCCCCATCCCTTCTGTAGTCTCCAGTACAGTAACCAGCCAGGCCCCGGTGTGCATCCAGCCCAGTGCCCCAGGACCATCTGGTCAGCCCTCCCAGCCTCCCCTCCAGGGGGCTTCCCAGCAAAGTCATATTCGCCTAGGAATTTGGAACTCACAACCTTTATTAACCCCTGCCAAAACTTCTCATTTACAAGTCAAAATACGTTGAAGCCTGAAGATTAACTTTTCTTACTGGTTTGTCCAGTAAGTCATAGCAAAGCCCAATTAGCATACTTAAACTACAGTAAGGAAAAGAGGTGGTTCTCTGCAGTGATCGTCTGGTGTGGCCCTCAACCATTAAATGTCCCCAAGTCCCCTTGGTGGGTAGTAGGATTTAAATTCAGCCAACTCCTGTCCTGGTGTGTGCAGTGTCCTAGGCCCTGTGGACACAGGCAGATGAAGGACCAGCCCTGCCCTGGGCTGTTGAGATCAGTCCACTCAGAGTTAGACATTGTTTTTGTAGAAAACAGGCATTTATTATGTTCAGGGTTTTTTCTCCTTACAGAATAAAAGTCTTTATACAAAAACAAAATGGAGTCTTTCACATAGAACCTTTTCTTTGACGGCTCTGTGGTTCGTATCATGAATGCCCATCATGAGGCAGGATTCGGGCACTTACCTGTAGGTTGGCTCCAGAGCACACTTTCACCAAATCCCCTGAGTAAATCTCTCTGGACCGCTGCTCAGACACCTGCGTCAGGTGGAGGTGACTCCCCCTCTGTGGGCACTAGCTTGGGGAGGTAGGTGCCGTTCACCATGATTTATGTGGTAAGAGACACAAAATAGCAATGGCCACATGGTATGGGGCTCTGCTGGCCCCAGAAGTGAATGAAGTCAACAGTCTCACTGAGCCTTCCAAAAGCGATGTCATTTTTTTTTCTGTCACCTGCCTTTGGTGACAGGGTCAAAGGCACAGATTGAAGAGAAAATCTTTGGCAGAAGCATTTATATCCAGATGCCCACCCTCGCACCTTCTAGCTTACTTTCTACATAATTTAAAGAGAAAAAAATGCATCGTGTGGTTTTTAGCTTAAATTCATTAGACGCATAGAAAAGAACCATTATAATCCCAGTGCTGTTATCTGAACACACAGTTCTGTGAATGCACGAGGACCATCTAAAGTCTACAAGCACAGCGGAGGCCACCAAAGGGTAAACTGAGGAAGAGAACGGGGAATTCATCTGCCTAAAGGCTTAGAGATGCCCAGGCAAGCTGACTTTTTCATCCAGAATTATCTTGTTCTTTAACTCTGCTCAATTCTCATATATAAACATGAATTTATATACATGTATGTCATATGAGTATGTCATTTTAAAACAATATGCACATATGTAAGTTTTGTGTGGACACAGAAAGCTTCTTTGGAGGGCAGTAGGTGGACGTTTCTGATTTCTCCATGGAGGGCAACCTTGCAGGCACCGTGATCACTCTCAGGAGGGAGAGAGGCCCTCAGGAGGGAGAGATGCCAGGCACCTAGTAATATTCTTGGAGAGGGGGGAAAAAAAAGGAAATCAAATCATGTGCCCACTTTTCTTTTTTCTGTTTTTTTTTTTTTTTGAGATGGAGTATTGCTCTGTCACCCAGGCTTGAGTGCAATGTGGCACGATCTCCACTCACTGCAACCTCCACCTCCCAGGTTCTCCTGCCTCAGCCTCCTGAGTAGCTGGGACTACAGGTGCGCACCACCACACTTGGCTAATTTTTTGTATTTTTAGTAGAGATGGGGTTTCACCATCTCTGGTCTTGAACTCCTGACCTCATCATCTGCCCGCCTCAGCCTCCCAAACTGCTGGGATTACAGGCGTGAGCCACTGCGCTCGGCCCGTGTGCCCACTTTTCTTTTCTTTTTTTTTTTTTTTTTTTTTTGAGACGGAGTTTCGCTCTTTTTACCCAGGCTGGAGTGCAATGGCGCGATCTCGGCTCACCACAACCTCCGCCTCCTGGGATCAGGCAATTCTCCTGCCTCAGCCTCCTGAGTAGCTGGGATTACAGGCATGTGCCACCATGCCCAGCTAATTTTTTTGTATTTTTAGTAGAGACGGGGTTTCACCAGGTTGACCAGGATGGTCTCGAACTCTCGACCTCGTGATCCACCCGCCTCAGCCTCCCAAAGTGCTGGGATTACAGGCTTGAGCCACCGCGCCCGGCTTCCACTTTTCTTAATATCCTCTTACATGAAGTCATTCATCATGAAAAGTTGACTGGAAAAGAAAACACTAGAAAATAGTAGAGATGGTGACCAAGTGAGGATTTGTGTCTTCCCAGGACCAGCACAAAGTTCCGTGAGTGTCCACACCGCCAGCTGTCTCCCTCCCACACAGAAAGGGCCGCCCTGGGGCCTGCTCGCTGTACTATTGCCCTTCTAGTACCACCCCAATTTTCAAAGAACCTCTTCCCCAGAGTGTGTATAGGAGGGAGGGTGGAAATATCCAAACTCTAGAACTCTAACATCTAAGAAGCCGAGGCCCTGTTTTCTACACAGCACATGGTATCACATAACACAAACCTTCCAGTCTTGAGTTTAAAGGGAAAGGAAAAGCCCACCCTGTTGCTTCCACAGTCTGCTTCCAAATTGTCAGCCTGCCAGTGAGGTCTTCCAGACCCATCGGTAAAAAAGCATTGCACTAAGACTTGGGACTCTCCCCAGCTCCAGGGAGGGGCGGCGCCCAACAGCTCGCCAACCTGCTTCCACCTCCTACTCCAGCCCAGCAGCGTCTGTCTTCGCTTTTCCAAACTCACTGAACTCAGATGGCCTGGGGGCAGGGTCGCTCTTCGCAGGGAGGGCTGTTTAGTTGGTTTTTGGCTTTGGTTTCTGCAGTGCTGGACCCGGTTCTCTCTTGAACACCTGCTGGGATGCAGCAAGAGCATCTCTGGATGTGGGGCTATAGGGCTGCGGTTCACCTGCAAGAGTCACAGTGCGACCTGGACCTTCCGCCTTGCACCCTCACCCTCCTTCATTCCGCCTGGAGGATGCCCGAGCAAATTGCCTTCAAGATGGGGAAAGTGTTTCACTGTTTATTTCCTCCATGGTGTAGCAGGCGAGCATGCTTGGGACGGATAACCACTGAGTTTACCCAGGTAAATTTGGGCCTGATACAAGAGTGTATTGGTGTCAGTGCTGGTTAACCAATGCAGTTAATACACAATGCTTCTATTTTGTTTCTTTTTCTAATCTTATTTAGAAGTTTCAAACAAAAAGACAGCAAGCTGATCAGTAAACATGGAGCTGCCCTCTCCCACTCCACTGGCTCCATTTCCAGGGCTGCGTGCCAGCCTCGGAGCAGAGTGTGGATCCCTGGATCCAGTTTGAACTGGGGAGAAGAGTTGGGAAGAGGCTGTGCCTGTGACCCCAAACTCTTACTGTGGAGAGAAACCCAAATGCGGCTGTTTCAGAAGGAAAGCAGCCCCATCAGGTGGGCCCAGAGGAGGGTAGGCGGCAGAGACCAGGTGGGCAGATGGAAACCTCACCTCAGAGTGGGTGGAAGCCAGGGCCAGAGGGACTGGTGGAGGTGGGCGCTTCACAGGAGCCCTTTCCCCGGTGGTGCTAGGGAGGAGCCCCTGCCTGGCCAGCACCCCTCCCACCTCTTGCCGTACCTCGCTGGTGCGCTCCCCCCACCCAGCTACAGTAGGCATCTGGCTTTTCCCACCAACCCATCTCCTTTTTGGTGTCCAGACCTGCCGTCTCCTGGCAGAGCACCCCTCCTCCCACCCTCACCGTAAGTGAGATTTGGATGAGCTAGACCACGTCCCTCTGGTCACAAAAATTGGTTCAGGGGTGGCCATGTGGCCCTGTTGAAGCCTGTGAGAGCCGGGAGCCCCAGACTTCTGTTAAAACTCGGGAGAGACGCTCTCTCTTCTCTGAACTTTGCAGTATATAGAAATGAGCTACTGATGCAACGATATAAATGGCATTGAGATGGGTGTACAGAGCTGCTGGGGTCAGGGGAGGGAGGACCAGCACAAAGTTCCGTGAGTGTCCACACCGCCAGCTGTCTCCCTCTCACACAGAAAGGGCCGCCCTGGGGCCTGCTCGCTGTACTATTGCCCTTCTAGTGCCACCCCAATTTTCTAAGAACCTCTTCCCCAGAGTGTATATAGGAGAGAGGGTGGAAATACCCTAACTCTAGAACTCTAATATCTAAGAAGCCGAGGCCCTGTTTTCTACACAGCACATGGTATCACGTAACACAAACCTTCCAGTCTTGAGTTTAAAGGGAAAGGAAAAGCCCACCCTGTTGCTTCCACAGTCTGCTTCCGCAGTCTGCCACAGCCTGGCAGAAGCCACCCTGTGGAGCATGAAAATGAAATAGACCTTGAGAAAGGCCAAAGGAATCCAGGCCTGTGGTGACAACATTTGAGCTGCTGGATCAAACCTCACCTCAAGTCATATTCCTACTAGTTTTTTAGTCCCCCCCGCCCCCACTGTGTGGGCCACCTTTATACTGTTTAAACCAGACATGGTGGCTAACACCTATAATCCCAGCAACTCAGGAGGCAGAAGTGGAAAAATCGCTGAGGCCTGGAGTTCAAGACCAGCCTGGGCAACCTAAGAAGACCTTGTCTCTAAAAAAAATTAACTAAAAATAAATAAATAAATTTGTCTCTAAAAAAGAATTAACTAAAAATAAATAAATAGTTTAAACCAGTTTCACTTGAGATTTTGGTTACTTGCAACATAAATAATCCAAACTTTGTTCTAACCAACAGGGTTCTCATGTCACCAGGGGCTGCAATCAGTCATGGCCAGAGAAAAGCCAGTCCTTGCATGGTGTGCAGTGGCTTTAGCTGCCACTGAGCTAGAAAGGAAGAAAAGCAGTCTGCAGCCCCCTCCAACAAGTTCAAAATGACAGTAACTGTTGTCTATGTGCAGAGCATCCTGCAGTTCAGTCTGTCCTCCAGAGCGCACCACCTCACACGCGACTCCATGGGCTGAGGGTCTTTTTTTTGTTTGTTTGTTTGTTTGTTTTTGAGACAGAGTTTCACTCTTGTTACCCAGGCTGGAGTGCAATGGCGTGATCTCGGCTCACCGCAACCTCCGCCTCCTGGATTCAGGCAATTCTCCTGCCTCAGCCTCCTGAGTAGCTGGGATTACAGACACGTGCCACCATGCCCAGCTAATTTTTTGTATTTTTAGTAGAGATGGGGTTTCACCACGTTGACCAGGATGGTCTCGATCTCTTGACCTCGTGATCCACCCGCCTCGGCCTCCCAAAGTGCTGGGATTACAGCCACCGCGCCCGGCTGGGCTGAGGGTCTTAATAGGAGAGGGAATAAGCACAGTCTCCCGGGGGTAAGCCGGTGGGATGAGGCACTTCCTACAAGAAACAGGATTTTAACTGGGGCAGGCAGGATAGGTGAATGTGGATGGAGAGTGGCAAGGGATATTCTAAGCTGAGAAAACAGCTGAAGCCCAGCCTCGGGGCCAGGAAAGCTCAGGTGCTGCTCAGGGAATGGAGAGCGGCCCGTGGGGAGCGCCCAGAGTGAGGGGCAGGTGAGCCTGGTTAGTTGACCTGGCCGGCTTCAAAGGCCCAGCTGAGGCGAGTCTGGCAAGTCTGGCTTG